TTTTACTTACAAAGTTATATTTTAATTATTTTACTGCATCGTGTGCTAATCTCATTTGCAATTAACCAAACAGTCTCTACAAACCTGAAAACAAAAAAAAAAATTGAAAAAGAAATTATAAGTCGTAATTTGATTTTGCGTATATCATATTACCATCTACTACATGCTAGAAGTGTCCAGACAGACTCTCATTGGCAACGTGGCTAGACGACCCAAGGGACCGTTCTATATAGTTATTTTTTCGGTTCTGTTACAGGTCAAGGTAACAGTAGTGAAATATTGAAGTATGTTTTACGTTACAAAATAAATTAAGATAAAAATCCGTAAACAGTTTTAGAAAATCAATAATTTAATGAATTGAAATTTAGAAAAGTCTACAAATTATTTTAAAAATTGATAAATTTATTTTAATGTCTAAAAAGAACACAAAGGGTTTTCAAGAAAATGCAACCAAGGGTTTTCAAGATTGACCCAGGAAAAAACATATCAATGTCTGACCGGTTAAAATAAAGAAAACAAATCCGCAGGATTGACCGGCAAGTAATGTTTTCTGCTTTTCTACATTCTTCTAAAAGAGTTTATAACAAAAATATATATTGCATACATGTAATTTAAAAATAATTTGCATAATGATTGTTCTAAAGTCTATCATCATCGTCTTGTTGGCGGCTTGGTAATTGAAACTATCTTGTATTGTGATAGTATGATGTTCCGCTGCCAAAAGTCTTCCACGTGACCAAGAAATTTCCTTCAGATATACTATATTCTATGGACACAACTTCAACTTCAGTTACAATATTTCCAACCAATATGGCTGCTGAATTTCTTGGTCTCTCTGTTGCCATGCTTCTGTTTTTCAATGTTCCAAGCATCGCCATTTCAATTGAACTGGGATCTGGCATTGTGGCTGCAAGTGCCACCAGTTCATTTGGCGATCATCCTCCGGGCAAAGTCTACCAGTCGGAAGCTCTACTCCAATGCCAATGGATCAGTTGACTATTCAACTGGACAATACAGTTTGGAGATCCAACCAAATTATATTTAACATGACTACTGAAGTAGTGGGTGCAATCGAAGATTACTACCATCGTGTGTTGGTGGATGACAGGCTATACTAAATTCTTCTGCCTCAAACTTTGAGGTGGAAGTGAAAGAGATTCAAGAATGTTATACTCTCTAGTTTAGTCTTTTTTTAATGCATGTGATTATTATTGTACTTATTTATTTTCACATATTAAGAATGGTGAGTTAAGGTTTTGTTTATAATCCAAACAAGCTATCTTTATTTTGTTTTGATTGTTTCTTCCTACACTTTCATACATTTCTTTTTACACTTCTACATCTTTTAAAATTTTAAAATTATCCCCTGTAATTCAAAAAACTCTATATCCTATTTATGTTCGGATTTTGAAATCTCATACTTTATTTTTTATGCTCAATAGATTTTATGTCGTTAAAGTTTTTAAAAATTTTGGATTTTAAAATCTGTTAAAAGATTTTTTTTTAAAAAAAAGATTTTAAAATTTGATGAAATGTTTTTTAAAAGTTTTAACAGATTTCGAATTTTTTTAAAGAATATTTTCTTTAATAAATTTTGAAATTTGTTAAAGAAAATTATAATCTTGAAATTATTTTTGAAATGTGAAGGTGCAGAAAGAAATATGTAGAACTGCGTTAAGAAAGAGTCATGTGTACAGAAGCCTATACTTTAAAATACAACAATTAAGAGATGGCCCAATCATTTGGAAAAACAGCAAGGATATTGCATGTTGCCAAAGCGTCTACGCTATTGTTTAGAAGCCTTTACTTCATGAATTTGCTTGGTAATACATGTTACTCCACTCTCAAATCATAGAAATTATCACACATTTTAACACCGTTTACATGTCATTTTGTTATTGATCTATGTTAATGTTTGTGATTATTATTATTGATTATAGAGTAATTTTAGACCAATACACATAAATAATGTTAAAATATTGTAAAAAAATATTGTCAAAATATCATTATCTTTTTAATAATAAAAACTTAAATTTAAAACAAACTAATTCGATAAAATGTATCGATTAAAAAACATGTTTTTCTGGACAAGGGAAATCAATTCTCAAAACCCATATCAGTTGGGAAGAAAGTTCCCATTTGGTTTGATTGATCTGTAGTCACAGTTCTTATTTGAGCCAATTGACTTTTCGTGGGTAAATTAACAAGGAAATAATTTTATTTTATTATTTTTTAATTGTTTCCTATAATAGAAAACATTACATCATTTGCATAACATTTGTACAATGATTAGTATATTCTCAATATTATAGTTCTGTTGAACCATGTCTTCATATTGAACTACACAAAAAACAAATTTTGTAACGAGTCCATTTTAAATCAGATCCCAAATCTAGTTCTCCAAGTTAACGTCACGTTAAGTTAGTCACAAAGATAATCATAAATTAAAATCTGAATCTTTTAGGGTGTGTTCTTTTGGGTGTATTTGGGAGAGATGATTTGAATGGATTTGAGTGAATTTGAGGGTAATTTTTTAGTTGTTTTTTTAGTGGATTTGTGATTAGTGGATTTCGAAGTAAAGTTTGTGAGAATTAGTGTATGATTTGATTAATGTGATAGATTTTAAAAATTAGTTTAATTGGTAGAAAATAAAGATGACCAAAATGCCCCTAGTTATAAAAGTATTATAAAATGTTATTTTGTAATGTTATATTTAAAATTATGAATAATTTATAAAATTAATGTTTAGGCTAATATGGAATAAGCTGTAACTGGTTACGTGAACTGGTTACATGAACCGGTAACCGAATACGCCATTAAGGCAAATTCTTCATGAAGTTGTAACCGGTTACGCCTCCGTGTAACCGAATACGCCTCCCAACCTGCAACTCTATATGTACATAATTCAGAAAATACGTGCAGGGCATATCAGTCTTTCTATGTCATTTCATCGCAAATCCGCGCACGGCGAGATGACTTGAACAGTGTATTCTCGCAAATCAGCGCTTTTACATCCGACCAAATCCTCGCAAATCAGCCCAAAAGAACAACACTGTTCTTCTAAATCAATCTTCACTAATATACGTGAACAGAAAAATCAGTCCAAATGTAGACAACCTTAATTCATTATATATTATGTACTATATGTTAGAGTTGATAAACAAAACAAAAATGTTAATATATGGAAAGAAATCCTGCAGCGTCAATTTTCAGGTATTATGTTTTCTAAATATATAAAAACTCTAAAAATATAAATTTCATGTTAAGAATAATCATTTTAATTTGAAATTAACGTTTAACTAATTAAGTCATGTTAATGTATTTTTTTTATATATAAAATTCATGTTACTTAATTTCAGAATACTGCTACCTTTTTGTCAATACTCTTGCTTGCAAGCCAATTATTCTAACTGTTTGGTGTTAATCTCGTCAACTATCTCTCTCTGCATTGGAAATATAATCTGGTTGCCGTTAGGATCACGAAAGCACCTATTCAAAATATTCTTAATTTCTAATATTTTTTTTGTTTTAAATTTAATGAAAAAATATTTTAATATACATTTTTGGACAATATTTTAACACAATATATTTATTCACTAATTCATTATTCATTTATTATCGTACTGAAGTATTTTAAATTTAATAAAAAAATACTAATAAATAATACATGTGTTGTATAAAGTATTTTTTAAAAATTTATATTTAATTCTAAAATTAAACCAGAACTCGTAAATTTATGTACTGCAAAAAATCACCTACAAATCCACATGGAAAGTGATGCATCTCTGCAGAAAAAAGTTTGGCTATACGAAAAAGATTCTTAAAGGTGGAATATGTTCCTCGGAATAAAGCTTCCACTTCAACAGAGATGTTTTTCGATCAACTAAATTTTCTAGTTAGAAATCTCACATTTTATGTCTTTTAAATTGAACATTATTCTTTAATGTTTCTTTATAAATTAAAATTAAATTTCCAAACAGTTATCATTGAAATTTATATCCAAAAAAAGTTAGGTTAAACTAAATTCGTCAAAATATAATTTATACTAGTTCAAAAAAAATCTTCGATAAACTACTCTATCTCCTCCTCTCTTTCAACATATAATTTATTTATTATGAAAATGCAAGGAAAATAAAATATAACTATTTAAGCTAAAATATGACCATTACAGTATAATTAATATTTTTTAAAATATTCATTATGAATTTTAGCTGTATGAAGAAATGTGTGCCTTTCGCATTTAATATATTCAAGTCAAACATGTTAATTCGCCAATAAATCAATTTCATTATTAATGGAGCTATTGATGATAGGTTTTGGTTAACTTTGATAAAATAAAATTAGATTATTATTAAATAATAGGGTTAAATATGTTTTTAGTCCCTAAACTATTGGTCGTTTCTGGTTTTCGTCCCTCTTCCAAGTAAGGTACAATTTGGTCCTCATTCTTTAGAAAAACGTTCGTTTTAGTCCTCAAAATTTTGTTTTTAGTCCTCGTTTTAGTCCTCAAAACGTTCGTTTTTTCGACTAAAACGAACGTTTTTTAAAGATTGAGGACTAAATTGTACCTTACTTTGGAAGAGGGACGAAAACCAAAAACGATCAATAGTTTAGAGACTAAAAACATATTTAACCCTAAATAATATTCTTTTTAAAAAAATACATGTGTATAGTATTTCATACAAAATTGATTTTAAGAAAAAACGTTAATTTAATTTCCAAATTGGAAGGAAATCTTTAATTCTATGAAAAATGTCAGTATTACATTTATCGGTTAAGTTAATACAGTAGTCTAAGAACAGTGAAACTTGTTATTAACTTAGTCAAATAAATTGTAATTATTTTTAATACCTATAAAATTTAGATTTGAAAATCTCCTGTCCTTTTAGATTAAAATTATAATTTTTACTCTGAAAATTATTTACTGTTTTATTAATTTGACCCCAAATTTAAATATATAATATGTATATATTTTGTGGGGCATTATTCCCTGGTATATTACTCATGAGGAGGGAAGAGATTCATTATATTTGGGAGGGGAATAGGACGAAGTGGATGAGAGTGTGCGTAACAAACTAAATTAGGGCTACCCGATCTTCACGCAAACCACCACTCTGATTTTAATTTTCTAGATCTGCAGATTCCGCTGAAATCATTTCGAAGCCTATCCAAATTTTTAGCTTTCAATTTTATTTTTGTGTATCTTTTCTGAATCAGAGTGTTGATTCCAATTGGGGTGCTGCAAAACTAGAGCGTAGATAGAGAAGGGTATACAAAGCAGAGTTTCCCCTCTTAGCATGTGAGCAATAATGGGCTCTGGAAATATAGTATCTTCTTCTTCCGGGCGCCCTGATTTGTCTATCTCTGGCAAGTCTTTTGTTTTTTTCTTGCTTTTGATGCTCTGCGTTTATTTGATTCTTCTTTTACCCTTTCTTACTGTATCGGATTTTCATTAGTATAGTCGTTCCCCTTCTTTTATATATGTGGGTATCAATTCCCAGACCCCGGGTTGTGGATCTGTGGATTTATTTGTGATCGTGTATGGTGAATTATGGGAAGGTTTCCAGTTGTTTAGTTTTCAGTGTCTCGGTTTCCTGTTAATTTGAATAGGCTAAGGGGAAAGTGAGTGGACAGAGATGATTCATCAAGTGTTTGTCTTTTTTAAAAGGGCGTCTTGCCAGTAGAAAATTGGACTGCCCCACTTACTGCTCTATAATATATACAATTTGGCATTTGGGGAACCATCCATGTTTTGATGTATTGTTTGTTTCTGGGCGTGGAATGGTGCAGCGAGGCAATTCATTAATCTATTTGGTTAATCTGGATTTTTGAAGCATTGGATTTCTCGAAAGGGGTTTTGGGGCTATAAGTTGTCATAATTCTATGTTAAGATTGAATTCCTCAATTAGTTTTGCAAAAATAAAAGTTGTTATTCTGTTATATTACAAAAAAGTTGGAGCCCGGGGAAGAAGAGGAGTCGTGCCTGATATGAGGCAAAGACATTTGACAATTTGAATAGAAACATATTGCCATAGTTTTTGGCCTGATGTTGGTTAATCAGTTGTCTATATTTCTGGAAATATTGAATTTAGCCTATTTTGCAAACCTGACATGACATGCTATTATGATTTAGATTCTTACAATAAGTTTTGTTATATCACATATGCTGATTTAAAAGTCTGTATTTTGCAGAGCTACGTGAGAAGTACGAGTTGGAGCTAGAAAATTTGACTCTGACCGCACAACCCTTTAAAACATTGAAATTCTTCACGTTAGCTGTTATTCAATGCATCAAGAAAACAACATTATATCTATTGGCAAAAGGTGGGTGGGTTATGCTTTTCAGTGTTGCGGTTGGGATTTTTGGCATAGTGCTCATGACCCTCGGTGGACTCCAAGAGAAGGTATTTTATTCAGTCTGTACAATATACTGATAGTTCTGGAGCAAAGAACTCTCCGTTTATGATTCTTTTTGGCTAGTGTGTGCTATTTACCTTGGTAGCATATGTCTATATGAAGGATAATTTTTTCTTTTAATTTCAGCCATATAATACACATGTGAAGTATACATTCATTTTTTAGGTAGCTCTTTTGTTCATTTTTTTAGATAATTGGACTTCACAAATGTTTGTTCTTTTGTGCAGCATCTTGAGGAGCTTCTTGAATATTTTCGCTTTGGACTGTGGTGGGTGGCCCTTGGCGTTGCTTCTTCAATTGGTCTTGGTAAGCAAAATAAGTAATCCTATGGTCAGATATGGTTCCTAATTGTGTGATACGGGGTTTACTACTTATTAGGTTAACGTGGTTTGTCTTGTACATCTTTTTGATTTGAACTTAAAGAAAAACAATTGCTTGTAATATAGATTTTACTCTCATAATTGTAAGGATCATGATTCTTTGCCATCATCTTGATCAAGGGCAATGTTGTCCCTGAGTTTTCATTTTCATTATTGCACATCCACATTAAATAGTTCTTTTATCCTTTTATTTGGTTCAGGATCTGGTTTGCACACATTTGTCCTATATTTAGGTCCACACATAGCATTGTTCACAATAAAAGCAGTGCAGTGTGGCCGAGTTGATCTTAAAAGTGCTCCATATGATACAATACAATTAAAACGAGGTCCTTCTTGGCTTGATAAAGACTGTTCTGAGTTTGGGCCACCATTATTCCAGTCAGAGGTTCCTCTTAGCAGCATTTTGCCTCAAGTTCAGCTGGAGGCTATTTTATGGGGTATGGGAACAGCAATAGGCGAGCTTCCTCCTTATTTTATATCCAGGGCAGGTACAATGTGTCTGGCTTTATCACTGTTGTTCCCTTACTCTAATAAAGTCATTGTTAATTTGATAGAATAGTCTGATCATAATCCTATACTATTGAGAAAAATGCTTACCATGTGATATTATTCTATGTGGTGTAGTTACTATAATCCTCTATGGGTGGAAAAGAAAAAGAAATGAATGGTTTCCAGGAAAAAAAAAAACTGATTGACTATTATTTAAATATTATTGATATTTTTCGGAAGCAAAAGTCAATTCCAGCATTTGAATTTTATTTTTCGTAATGGTTATCTACATAATGCAAGTGATTGCTAATTAGGGTCAACTTTACATTCACAACTCACAAATATTTTTTTTTTTTCATGTGGCCTGGGAATAATGCATCATGTTGCTTAGTATTTTAAAATGAACGAAATAGCCACTCTTGAGGCTTTGCAAATTTGTTAGAAAGTTTGGCTCATAAACAAATTATTAATAAAATTAGGTAAAATGGGAATAACTATTAGATGAAACAAATTGAAGAATTTGGCCATGTTTGTGGTTGGAGATCATGAATACATCCTAATACTTGCACGTGAGTGTAGTCATATTTATAACTGCGTTTACTTTAGTTTTTGCCATATAGGCCATTCAACTAATCTTATAGTCTCTTAATGACATGAGTTGTGACTTACTGTATGTATCTCAGTATTCTCCAATATGTTTACAAAGAAATTTTTTAGCACCAAACTGCGCAGTGAACAAATTTTGGATTTGGTATGTTGAAACATAAAACTATTTCAAACAAAAGCAGTTATAATAATGGACTATTGAAAAATCTTCTTTCATATGTTATCCTCAGGCATACTTGATGTAATTTTAGTCAGTTATCAAAAACTCTCATTTGAATAAAGTGCTTTTTAGTCCCCAGTTTTAAATCTCTGATGTACATCCTTTTTTTTTATTTACCTTAATTTCCAGTGTCCATCTTTAGCTGGTTGATTAATTAATTCATTTTTCAGTAGTTGGTGCTTATTAGTTATTTTATTTACAAATTGGTTGATGCAGCAAGCTTGTCTGGGAGCAGAGTGGATGCAATCGAAGAATTAGATAGTGATGATAAAGGAGTCTTGAATAGAATCAAGTGCTGGTTTCTTTCACACTCGCAACATTTGAATTTTGTTACTATTCTAATACTTGCTTCGGTTAGTATAGACTTCATGCTTCATTTCCAGTATTATTCTATGCTTATATGTTTTAATTTTCCTCTGGGTATGTGAAGTAGAATATTCTTTAGTGTAAGTTTGGCAGGACAACTTTTGCTAGTTAGTCAAAATCTTAACTCAATAGTTCTGTTTTTCCTCTTAAGGTTTCTCTGTTGTGATCCTGCAGTATGCACAAATCTCATCACTGTAACTGACTGCTGATGATTATGCATTTTCATAATCCATAGAATGTTATTGAGCACTATGCCAATTAATTAAGCATCAGGGTATTGTGGTGCATGTTTTAAGTTTTGCCACTTCTCTTGGTATATAGTATGGGATTTCGAAAACATGTTAGCTTCTAGCAATTCCTTTATTCTGAGGTCCATCCTGCTCAATAAAAATATCATTTATTATATATACCATATCAACTTGTAAACAGCTATTTACTGAGATTACATTTCAGGTTCCAAATCCTTTATTTGACCTTGCTGGCATCATGTGTGGACAATTTGGCATTCCATTTTGGAAATTTTTTCTTGCAACATTGATTGGAAAGGCAATTATTAAAACTCACATACAGGTTTGTATTTAACCTTTTCTTAGGTGATTTTATGGTATTGTAGACAAGGGAATGGTCTGTGATTGTGGGTGAAGCCTGAATCTCTTTTTATATTGTATACGTACACTCGTTGTGCAAATTTCCAAGTTGGTCTTTCCCATCAATATTTATATTTATTAAATAAATATTGTAAACACAATATTGTTTATTTGATTTTGTGATTACTATTGACCTACGTGGTGAACTCTGTAATGATTTAACACCATTACCTGGCTTTTTTGTGACCCGGCAAATAAGCAAATGGGAGGGTAGATTAATAGTTGAATAAGAAGAAAACATTTCAGTACTCCTAAAGATAAAAGTATCGTCATTTTGATCTTCCAAATAAATACATTGAAATAGTACTTCAATGCCATTTTTGCCTCAAATTAGTCCTCTAAAAGAAGCAATTTGTTGTCAAATTTTGACATCTGAGAACCATGTTTATGTATTTATTGTTAGAGAACCAGATTAATGGTTCCTGAATAAGTGAACAAGTTCTTATAGTTCCATAAAAAAAATCATTCAGACACATTTACGCCTTGTACATCTACAAATTTTGATGGATCTTGTATGTTTATTCTTTTTGCAGACGCTATTCATCATCTCAGTTTGCAACAATCAACTTCTTAACTGGATTGAAAATGAATTTATTTGGGTTCTCAGTCACATACCTGGTTTTGCTTCCGTCTTACCTAGAGTGACTGCCAGTCTCCATGCAATGAAAGATAAGTATTTGAAAGCTCCCAATCCAGCTTCCCCAAATAAGCAGGTACCTATTAACTGCAGTATGACTTATTTATCAACGCTTATACTTTGATTTGACCGTTAAATTCCTCAATATTGAGTTACGACCTCGAAGTGGTGTGGATGTCTCCGATGTATTTCTAATTTCGTATTCTTGAAATCATCTCATGTTCATCTGCAGGGGAAAAAGTGGGATTTTTCTTTTTCTTCAGTCTGGAACACTATCGTGTGGCTCATGCTTATGAACTTCTTTGTTAAGATAGTGAATGCAACTGCCCAGAATCATCTGAAGAAACAGCAGGAGAAACATATTTCTGAATTAACGGAAAAGTCTACCCCAACAGACTCAGGCGTACAATGATTTGTTTATGTTCTGCTTGTGTCGCCCTTTTTTTAGCGGTTCCTTCTGCAAGCAGAAAATTGAAATTCAAATTACAGCAATTTCTTTTGGCCCCACAGAAGTTACCCTGAAAATCTGCATTAGAGGTCCTGCCAGGAGCTTCTTTAGGAATGAATATACACAGTAGGCAACTAAAGTTGCAACTTTATTTTAATTTGGGGCGACCATTGGATTTTAGCTTTAACCCTTATTAATTATTTGCTGCTCTAATGGAATTATAAGAGTTCTATTCTTTTGCATTAGTAAGACAAATTATTAGTTCCTATCTCTGGTAAACAACAAATTGTTCCCTTTCTCTCTTGCCCTATCGCTTGGTTTTAATCGTTATAGTTGCCCGCTTCAAATAATGCATCGTGAGTTCATCTGAGATTTCATGATTAAAGTCTAAATCAGTTTTCAATTTATGCTTAGTGAAATATTGAAGGAACAATCTTTCTATACCCATAAAAAGGAATCCTATTGAAAAATGCAAAACGTTTAACAAATTGTAGAAAATATATTCTGTTTGGCATAAGGATTAACAACATGTCGACAATTTGGCATGAGGATGAACGAGGAGAGTCCATCACATTTGCTGCTTTGTTTTTCCTAACCTAAGTTTAGAATTAATTTTTAGTCTTCATAAATGAATATAATCTTTTTAATTTAATATTAATTTTTTTAGTATTTCAAATTTTAACATTTAAATTAAAACATGTCATTCAATATAAAGATGGTGTTTGTTTAAATAATATATAGAAAAGGCTATAATAGTGGAAAATGAGTAACTTGTGCAATTCTTATTTTAAAACGGTTGCAACGTGTTCGTTTCTTTAGTCTTATGTTTATTTGAATGGATTTGAGAAAAAGTGATTGAGTGGATTTGAAAGGATTTCAAGATAAATCTTTTTGTTGTTTATTTGAGTGAATTTAGAGATAAGTCAAAGTAAATTTGGAAGTAAGAATTAGTGAATGATTTGATTGATGTGATAAATTAAAAAAATTTACTTCAAAATCTATTTTCATCTACGTCTAAATCCATTCAAATAAACAATACAATTTTTTATTTTTAAATTCTCTCAAATTTATTCATTCAAATGAAAAAAAACTTTAAGGATGAAACCTTGATGAGATAACCGGTAATTGCATTACCTCCACATTTCACAAATAATTAAATATATCATATAAAAATGAATGATAAGATAAACATGCTTCTGTTACAATATTATATTAAATAATTACGCAATATTCTGATTTGTGTTCTTATCACATCGAGATAAAATATTAGATTTTGTTGTCAAAGTTGCCACCTAACTAATTTATTACACCGTTTTTTCTTATTCACTTTTCATTTATTTGATCTATATTTGAAGATGATAAGACGAAAAGTATTTTTTCAATTTTTTTTTAATTTTCTTTTTATAATACTGGAAGTATAAAACTAACTTCTGGATCTTCCCTCTCTTCTATATGCTCTTTCTCTACCCTCCTAATTTTTCTACTCTGTCTTTGCGTGTGTACCTATGCACTTCATCTTTTGCGTTTGTCATTTACTACTTTGCAAAATCAATGTCGCAATGTAAATCTATGTCATATGTGACAATGTACTACTTTTGCCTTTGTCTTTTTCTTTCTCTTTAATTTAACTCTTAATTTTATGTCTGTACTGAGATGATTTTAATGTTATGGACAATAAACAGAGCCAAATTTTATTCGATAGTTTTTACTTAATTAGAATTTCAAATTTTATAAATCGAATAAAAGACATTGATTATAACATCTGGATAGAATCATTCTACTAATGTATAATTAATCGTAAGATGGACCCTATAGGTAGCTTAATTATTATTTTGGTTTAATTCACTTTTAAGTTTTTCACAAATTTTAATATTTTTAATTAAATTTTATTAATTTTTCATTTTATTGATTATTCAAAAAAGTTTATATTTTTTTATTGAATCATAGTTTTTTTTTGTCAAACGTTATTTGTCTATTTATCTTACTCATATGTATGTATTAAGAATATCTTCATAAAACTTTAAGATCCGTATAAAAGTACACGTTTAAGGTACATACGTCTCATAATATTAATTAAGATAGAAGATTCGAGTTTGCATACTCGTTTGAAGTCAAAAGGAATATATAAAAGGTTATTTTTTTTTGTGTAATGTTGATCTTCAACATTTGACATTTGATTATATTTAAATTAGAGTACGTGGCAACTATTATGAACATCGTCGACAAACAAAATAATAATTAACATGTTGGATTTTTGTTTACTGCATTATTATAGCATTTACGTGCCGAAATTTGGATTCTACAATGTTGGACGATGAACTTCAATTTCACGTTTTATTTCAACATGATATAGTTAGTTTAGTAGAATTAATGATTTAATATTCAGTGATTTAACAGTTAATAATTACATTATTCAATTCGATGAGAACTATTTCAATATCATAAAAGGAATTTTAATGTTTGGTTAAATTACGAAAATCTACCAACAATTTTCTTAATCAAACATGCAACCCACATTAAGTATTTATTTTTAATAAATTATATTTATTATTATGGAAAATATATTTGAAGTCAAAAGAGATGTGATCATATTATTGACTATTAGGGATGGCAACGGGTCGGGTCGGGCACGGATAGTGCCTACCCGCAACCCGACCCAATAAAAAAAAAAATTCACCCGCTACCCGCATGGATACTCGCTTAAAAAAATCCGCGGATATTTTAAAATCCGCGGATATCCGCGGATACCCGCAAATATTAAAAAAATATATATTTTAATAAATTATTAAAATAAAATTACAAAAAATATATAAAATATAATATAAATTAAATTTAATTTAATTTTAAATTCAATTTTAATTAAATTTAATCTTGTAAAATATAAATTAATGTTAATTTTAATTAAATTTAACTTAATAAAAAATAAATTAAATTTTTATTTTTATTTTTTGCGGGTAGCGGGTATCCGCGGGTACGGATAGTATAATACCCGCACCCGACCCGTTTATAAGCGGGTATTAAAATATCCGCTACCCGCGGGTTGCAGGTAGTAAATATCCGCGGGTATCAACTATCCGTTGCGGATTTTATCTGCGGATATCCGCGGGCGCGAATTTTTTTGTCATCCCTATTGACTATTGTAGGGTGTAAATCGAGGGGTGGTTGTTAAATTGTTTTGATTCTCACATTAATGTGGTTACTCGAATAGCAATTTTGAATTTCAAATTATTTATTTCGGGATTTACTTTGAATCTCTATTTTCATCACAAATTACAACCACTTATATAAACTAATATTATTTAATTTAATAAATACAAAAATTACTTATGTTTTTTATACAAAAGCAAGATAATGTACATGGCATTGTGGAATTTGATTAAAAGAGAGTTTGGGTTTAAGTCAATCGAAAGGAATGTTATCCTAGTTGGGTGAAATTAATTGTAGTATTAGGTCTTTGCTTCTGAATTCCTTATAGTGATAGACCCAAATGGGTGTAAAGTTAAAAATATAACCTTTTTCAATGTTTCTGAATCTTTTACAAATCATAGTTTCTTATCAAATTATGTTTAATAAAGCTTTGTATTTATAATTTTGAGGGGACATGTGGTTTGACCGAGAAGAAGAAGAGATAAGATAATGACATGATAAGAAAGAAGAGAGTGATAGGAAATTTAATCGATTCCCATTAACAAGTGGTATATGATAATTCAATTTCCAAAATGAGTATGTTAAATTGAACTTATCCAAGTGCATAGAAGAATGAATGTGTGGATGAATTATAAGATGAGAGTAAACAAGGTTGTAAGATAACCATTACTCATAAATGCATTAATGTATCAAAAAAAAAGTTGCTTATACTTTTCCGTGTCCCCCTTTTCTTCTTTTTCATTCCACCCTCTTCTTCTCGTGAACACACCAAATGCATTTTGGAAAACTTTGCACCCTTTCTCTTTTATCAACAGCTATTTTTCTTTGTCCTTATCCTAATCGACCCGATTCATAATTTCGAATATTGCTACCACTGTTTTGGACAGGGAATTTCTACTAGTCAATTTTGGAGGACGAAAAACAAAAAAGTGCTTTCCACGTCATTTATTGCTGATAAAGGTAAACAAGACTGAGATTGAATTTTAAAAGCTTTAAACTAAGATATTTGATAACATTCTTTACATTTATTTGACACATAATAAAAGAGTCTGTATTATTTAAAAAAAAATTAAAAAATAAATAATAATAATATTTAAATGAATTAAAATATTTATGTGTTCAGATAATCTTTATTCTTAATTTAATATAGGCTTAATACTCTTTTTGTCTCCAGTCTCGTTTGAAAATATCAAATTAGTTCATCTTTTAAAAAATGCGTAAATTATTTCTCACTTAATAAAATTTGCATCAATGAAATCCCTTCCGTTAAATCCGTACAAACGACGTTAATTCAGAACGTAATTGACACATTTTTTAAACAATTGACTAATTTAACATTTTCGAGCGAAACTGGGAAGAAAAAAGGTATTAAGCCTTTAATATATAGTCAAAAACGGCGAACGTTCACAGTGGAGCAGACTTGATGTCATTCCCTTCTCGGCTTTCAGCGTCTTATTTTAAAGCCCTGATCTAACGTATGCACTTTCTATGTTTTAATATATGTATCTATTTAATATAATATTATTTCTTTGTGTCATTTATTGAAAGTCAAAAAGAAAAAGTTTTTTTTAAACTTTGTTATAAACTGTTAAATTACATAGTTAATAATGTGAAAAACCAAAATGCATGCTTATGGTTGTGGTTGTTGCGATGATGGTTATGTACGGAGAGAAGAGAGTGACGAGGGATAGATGGTTGGAGATAGTATTGAGGGAAATGATGAAGATGCATAAGGGAACAGTGCAATTATAATGTGGTGCTCATAATAATGATATTGGTTAATAAGTGGAGTATGTATTTCCTAAAGAAAATCATTTTAATAGAAAAGAAAGGTGTGCATAAATATTATTTGTAAAAAAAATGGGTTATTTCGACCCTTATTTGTTCATGGTTGATTCGTTAGTGAATTAATTAAATTTAATTTATTTATTAATAATATTAAAAATTTAAATCCGATATTACTCACTATATATTAATGGATTAAACGGATTAACTTAATAACAACTTTTTTTTTCTCAAATCTTAAAAAGAATTACAAATCTTCTCTCGGTAAAATCAAGAAAATGTTAAGCTCAAAATTCAATAAAAAATCACAAAAACATAATATAATCTAAATGCATTTAGAGATATAAAATAATATTTAGGATTTTTCTTTCTTTCATATAATTTAATATTTAAAATTTATAGATAAAATGATAAATTAACTCGAATCACTAGAGTTTAAATCGGGTAAGTCGAGTTTTAGTTAACTTGATTTATTCTTATTGTCAAAATTTATAAAAAAAAAATTTAATCAAATCCAGCTTGAATCTAATGGACTGAATTAGTTCATGGATTTTAAAGAATTCTAATGACAGTTGGTAATTAAATGATAAAATGAAAATGAGCAAAATGTAAAATAAAATAAAATTATATTAAATTTTGATATATACTAAATAATGAATTAAATAATTTTATGTTATTTATCTTATATTTGACATGTACCTGATAATAATATGATAAAATATATATTATGTTGAAATAAAATATTATTCCTTTGACTAAATTATTACAAAATTATGTAGTTAACCTTCTAGTTGTAAAAAGATTGTGTACCAAAATTATGTTAAATACAATATAAGGCGTAAAATTGTCATATTAGTTTGAAAATGAATTGAACAACCATTTTTTTGACAACATTTAGACCGCGCACACGGTCAAAATCTGAGTGGTCCATTGAAAATTAAATAAAATGGACCACTCAGATTTTGACACGTGTGCGCGTGTCTAAATGTTGTCAAAAATGGTTATTCAAGTGTCATTTTCCATTAGTTTATTGTGTATATGGATATGAAAGTATATCCACACAATTGTTTAATTACATGAAATTCGCTATTATATGTCTTTCTGTTTTAATAAAAATAAAACCTACAATAATGTATTTATTTATTTTAAAATAAAATAAAACTCAAATTTGACATCGAAACTAACAATCACTCTAAAATAATAAAAAAAAAAAAAATATAAGATTATAACCTATCCAATTAATAAAAATATTATGAAATAGTAAAAACATCATTGAACGATAAAAATAAAATTTACAAAAGAAGATAAACACCATTAAAAAGGAGAGATTTAATTTACGAAGATGCCATGGTGTATATTTTTTATCAGAGTTAAGTTATTGATGGATTAAATAGATATAAATTCATAAGATTGAATTTTAAATCCAACTAATTTTAAAATAAAGTTGTCATATTTTGATGAATTTGTATTCTTTTATGCGAACCTTTCTTTTTATCGCATATTTATGGGGAACAAGAAGAACAAGGATTTTAATGTAAATTGCCATATTTAGTATTTGCAATTTGAACTTAAATTAAACGAGGTTTTCAATCTGTAATGTGTTATCAATCATTAATTTTATATAATTTATCTTCATATAAATTATTCCAATGTTAATAATTTTGAAGTACAATGTTTCTCTTAATTATTGGACTGTTATATTTGAAGAGAAAAATGAATCTTATCCAAAAGGGTAAAATAAAATTGAGAATGTGAATGTTTCTAGAAGAACAGGGCAGACAAGGTCACACGTTTAAGGCTTTTAGGTGACAGACATGGCATCACATGTGAAACCAATTTCAATTCTCTCTCTTTTCATCACATAATCTGCCACGTCACACCCTTACATCATCCATTATCATCTAATCTATCTAATTTCACCCTCATTTCCTCATCATTAACCAATTAACTTCTTTTAATTTATTTATTTTAAACACAATTTTTTCTTAATTTTCTAAACATTGCCAACAACTTTAGTAACACGCATAAAAAATGTTATAGACCAATTTTGCATAAAAATATAATCTTAAATTTTTCATTTTTTATAACAAAGGTGGGACATAGTAGAATTAATTTTACAATTTGAGATCACGTTTTATTTATTTTTCGTATGAGGAAAATGTTAACTCTCCTAACTAAGTTGACGTATTTTTGTCGCAAAACCAGAAATTCGGTAACCAGTCAGTTATTATTACTAAAAAAAGGTTTTAATGTTGCAGTTACATCCTACGCAAGTCAATAAATTGAATTATAAATCGATCCAATTTTGTTATGCTTATGTAATCAAGAAACAATTTGACAGAGGTTTCTCACAAACAAATTCCGATGTTGCGGCTGAATTAGACTTTCATAAAAATAAAATCTCAATTGAATTATTATAATTAGAAAATATTTAGAAAATAAAAAATAAAAAATATTTAAATTGCCTGACTTCGATTCTTATTTAATGTAATTACTATATGTGGTAGTAACAGTAACAATTTATAATTGCAAACGAATTTGTCAAATTAAATTTTGCACATACATGTGAATGCAGGATGGAACTGACATGATTAGAAAACAAATTCAAATTTAATACTCTATTTATAAATTATTATAATTTAACTTTATATTTAATAGACTTGATATCTCCGACCAACATAATCATCAACTTAAATAATTATGTTTTAACCTATTTTTTCACAAAATTTTACAGGAAAATTATTATATCATCTGACTAGAAAATTTCAATTACAAGTAAAAACAGAAACAAAACTAAGATTAAGTTTTTTATGCAGCTGAATATAAGTTTCCATGGCTTTTTGTTTTGACATGTAGAAAGTAAGACACAGATTTGACGTATGATGAGTTGGACCATTGACTGAATAAAATAGTAAGTCAAATTAAGAACTTCATTGCATGGGCATAAGGGAAAATAGTTTTGTATTTTTCTTCTTCTGTTCACAATAATTAAATACAATATCGAAAAACCACATTATTATATATTTCCCTACATTAAATGGGTGGATCCGATTTTCTTTTTTATTTTCTTTTTATGATAAAACAATTGTAAACACAATTTCCACATAGCTTTTTTCTTTCTACGTTTTTTTTTTTATTTATTAAATCAGGTTGTACTTTGGACACCGTAGATTCTTTTCCACATAGATTGAATCGAATCATTGATTAAAGATTGTGGCCAACTTTTCGCCAACAGTTTCACACCTGTTAGTATCGTGTTTGTCGGGATACAAAATTAGATATATTTATTTATCTATATATATATATTTTAACAAATATATCGTAAAAAGTAGTTATTGATAATAAATGGTAAATAACAAATATATAATAGATAAAGTAAGTTAAAAAAACTTATAATGTAACTTTAGATATAGAATAGATTATCTTGATAATAAAAATTAAATTATGTGCGATTGAAGTTTTTTGATAGGCAATACCTTCAATGATACCGTATCTAATGTTAAAAAAAATTACTTTTAACCGAAATAAAAATATTCTGGCTGTATAATTATCTTGAATGAAATTTGTGATATATTAATTTGTAAAGTTATTATCTATTTAAAGCATTTTTATAAAATTTAATTTGAAATGTTGTATTGCTTTTTCGTGAATCGTGTTGATTTAAAGATCTGTTTTTTTTTTTTTTTAATTTTTTCTAAATGTAGATCTCTCTTAAAATATTATATTACTTTGTTATTTGATTTCACACTTAATTTAGAGATAAGGATATACAAAAATAAATAAATTAATGAACATCTTCAAAGTTGTTTTTATAAAACTCATTCCCTTTTATATATATTTTCAATATACTTTTAGTATAAATATTGAAACTATTGAAAGATTATATTTATCCCATCAATAAAGAAGATATATTTAAATTAAAGTAGAGAGAAAATCTTAAAAAAATATTTAAAAGCCACGTCTCAGATCATAAAGATGTATTAAAGATTTGATTTGTTTTTTATTTTTTCTAAATGTAGATCTCTCTTAAAATATTATATGATTTTCACACTTAATTTAGAGATGTAAGGATATACAAAAAAAAATAATTAAAATTATGAACATCTTAAAAGTTGATTTCACAAAATCATTCTCTTCCTGTATAGATTTTCAATAGAAGTTTAGTATATATCTTGAAAGATTATATTTAATCCGTCACAATATTAAATTAAAGTAGAAAGAAAATCTAAAAATAATCTTTAAAAGCCACGTGGGCCTATCTCATATCATAAAGATGTATTAGTTTCTTATCATCTAGCTCCGCAACGCCTATAAATACACCCTTCCATTCAACACTCTCTTTCACAAGCTGCCTTCGTCCTATCACAACAACATTACATTGATTCCGTCTTCCTCATCACTGCTTCGATAGCTGCTCGCGCACACGCCAACCATGGCCGGTGGAGGTTTCGCCAGCGCCGCCTCGGGCGGCGAATTTGAGGCCAAAATCACTCCCATAGTTATTATTTCCTGTATCATGGCTGCCACCGGTGGTCTTATGTTCGGTTACGACGTCGGTGTTTCAGGTAATCCTTCTTCTCTCCATACATACCCACCCGTTTCTTATTCCTTTACAATTTATAAACATTTTTTCTTGTTTTTCACCAAATCAACCATAGGTGACCTACCTCGTTAGACACTACCACCAACCTATATCTCGTTTTGAATCTTCTTTTTTTCTCCGTGAACAAAATATATTAATTTATTACTATATTCCAACCTATTCTCTTGATCATAGATCCAATCTTGTGTTTAGTTCTGATTTGAAAATATCCTCCTTCGGATCTCACTACAATGAGATGGAATGAAAAAGTTATTTGATAAGTATATAATGAAATTAACAAGTTTTTCTTTTATCTGAAAATATTAGTTTTTAGTTTCGACTCCGATATTAACAAATTTCTTCTGCAACCTTTTAATAATAGATCAGATGTCATTATTTTATTTGTATATATATTTAAAACAGATCAATCACAAAATGTCTGTATATTTAAAATAGATCAATCATAAAATGTCTGTATATTTAAAATAGATCAATTATAAAATGTTTCTATATTTAAAATAGATCAATTATAAAATGTTTTTATATTTAAAACAGATCAATCATAAAATTATACGGTAAAAAAAATTATAAAATAAATGTTAACAACATTTTTTTTAGTTTTGTTTGTGCATAGTTTTCTCATTTTCCTTACCATATTTTTCAATTATATACCCTAAAAGTCAATGAGAAGTAAACCCACTTTCTTGGTAAGGACAATCTTTTTATGTTCTAATATTAATTGAGCAATATTTTTTTCTTGGATCATTAATATTAACACTTTTTTTTTGACAATACATACTTATTACTATTTTATTGATATATATATTTGAAACATAATCATAACCGTAAGTTATAAAAAAATTGTAAAAAGAATAATTAAAGAAACATTTTTCTTTTTTCCTTTGGGAGTATTAATAATGTTACGGTGGTCTGTTTAATCAGTGGTGTGACGTCTATGCCACCATTCTTGAAGAAGTTTTTTCCGACCGTGTACAAAAAGACGGTGCAAGAGAAAGGTTTGGATAGCAATTACTGCAAATACGACAACCAAGGATTGCAGCTATTCACCTCGTCTCTGTATCTGGCTGGTTTGACTGCAACGTTCTTCGCTTCCTACACGACTCGTAGGTTGGGAAGAAGGCTAACTATGCTCATCGCTGGATTCTTCTTCATCTGTGGAGTTGTCCTTAATGCCGCCGCTCAAGACCTTGCTATGCTCATTGTTGGTAGGATCCTTCTTGGCTGTGGAGTTGGTTTTGCTAATCAGGTACCCTTTTGATACTTTGTTCGAAAACGGTCAATTTGACTACGTACGTGTTTATACTGCTACGTAGAACTCACTAATTTAAGTTAATGAGTCCGTGTTGACTAACTGAGGCACTTTTGCTATAAGTTTGTGGGTCGAAAATAAATATTGCTATGAATGTGTCAGTCGTTCATTGATTGCTGTATGTAAAAATAATAATGCTTTGAAAGAAAATAATCACAATATAACACTTTTTCTTACGAAAATGACAATTTTTTTTAAGAAAAATTAGTAAGAGATTTTAATCAGAACAGGATATGGTTGCTTGTATCGAGAGTTTAAACGAAGATATTATTTTTAACATAGTGGTCATGTTTCTTTCGTAGTCACGTTCCTGTGTCCCTTTCGTCTAAAGAGAAAAAATAGTATATTCGTTTCTTATTTAGTACTATTGCGTGTATCTATATTCTATAGAGAGAGAACATGGCCGACCTATGAATTCATATTAGGTTAAGAATTTAATATACATAAAAATTCAATGGCTTTGTCGTGCAGAGAGATGAGTATATGTGTCCTACAACTACTTGTGGATTGTCATGTGCCAACGGGACCCAAATCCCAGACTTTTGTCATCAATTTCCCAAATCCAGTTTCCTAATAACTTTTCTTATACTTTTAAATATTCTACCATTGGACGTTTAAGTCACTTGTGACAGTGACCCTTTTATTTTTTTACCATATTTTATAATCGTTAGTTTTTGTCACCTTGGTACAATTCTTTGTAGCTTCCAAAATTTGAATCAATTTAAAAGTTTCGCTTTTGAAAAATTTAAAAGGTTCCATTTTTCCGTCATTCTTTACTCTATTAGTCATAAGTTGGACCTTATATACGTTTATTGAATCCTTACGTATCTGTTTATACATAAACTACTTGTAGTCCGATCATCAGATATTTTTTGATGACAGGCCGTGCCGGTGTTCCTCTCAGAGATCGCACCTCCAAGAATACGAGGAGCATTGAACATACTGGTATCCGCCCCCCCCCCCCCCCCCCCCCCCCCCCCAAAAAAAAAAAACCCAAGGAAGAAAAAAAAAAAAAAACACCCCGACCCCGCAATGTCACCATTGGCATTATATTTGCCAACCTTGTCACTATGGCACACAAGTAAGTACTTATTAACGTTTCTTAGAGACTTCTTTCAATTGGATTTGGAAAACTACCCAATCAATGATGTGATTGTTTTTTAGAAAAGGTAAGTTAGTATTAAAGTCAAAATAGCAGTCTCCCAGATTGTATTTTTTTTCCAGTGTTGAGTTTTTCATCACAGTAATAGTTATCAAATCGAAGTAGTAAATAATAGTACCGGTGATACCGGTCAAAATTGTTAACTGTTGAAAGGAAACAACAAAAGGACAACCATTAGTATGACTTTTAGGTTTAATCAACGTAATCAAAGTTGTAGCCCATGCTTGCTTCTCTGTAGTGAGTTATTTGCTAACGAGACAAGTGTCAATTCAGTGTGGCCATCAAACATGTGTTTTGAGTCATTCGTCAAAGGCGCATGCTTCAGAAAAAATGGACTAAAACACTGCGCAATTTTAAACTGCGGAGGATTTCAGGCGTTGAACCTATAGTTCTCTTTTTGATAAATTATTTAAAACAAATATCATGTTTTCAACAGTGACGCTTCAACAGTTGAACTACATCTTTAGTGTATTGGAAAATATTTTTTTAACAATTTTTTTTACAAGAGTAACTTGTCACTGTGTGATTGATCTATTTCAAACATAAAGAATAAACATTGACACATAATCTATTTAAAAAAAAAGTTGTTAACTTATGATAGTTTGTATTTTTTTCTTGTATAGCAGAGAATCCTCTTCAAAGATTTTACATTTTCGTTGTCACCCATGTCAGAAAAGGCCCACATGGTCCAGGCCAAACCTTTTAGGCTTTCCAAATTTTCACAATTTTTTCAAGACTTTTCAGTTCATATTTTAGAAATGCATGGGAAACTAGTACTGGGGAAATCCCTGATACAAAGTAAAACAAAAAACAAAAAACATCGCATTCATTCAAGAGAAATGATTATGTTCTGTCGTAAAATGATTGCTAATGTTTGCAGACGTAATAATTAAATTCCGAATTTTTTGTTTGTGTGTTTTGGAGCTGTATTGACTGAGTATTATTGTGTGGTGACATGGAACAACAGAATCAAAGGTGGGTGGGGTTGGAGGCTATCTCTGGGGTTGGCCGGAATCCCAGCACTTATGCTGACCGTAGGAGCCTTGCTGGTGGTGGACACCCCCAACAGTCTCATTGAACGTGGCCGTTTGGATGAAGGAAAAGCTGTGCTAAGAAAGATTCGTGGCACCGACAACGTTGAACCTGAGTTTCTGGAGCTCGTTGAGGCAAGTCGTGTCGCCAAAGAGGTCAAACACCCTTTCAGGAATCTCCTCAAACGCAGAAACAGACCACAGATTGTGATCTCCATTGCGCTCCAGGTAATTAACTGTCAGAACACGTAAACAGATTCAGCCATATGTACATACATAACATAACTCAACTCATTCATATGTTAAAACAGGTATTCCAACAATTCACGGGCATCAACGCAATCATGTTTTATGCTCCGGTGCTGTTCAACACGTTAGGATTCGGGAGCGATGCATCCCTGTATTCCGCCGTGATAACTGGAGCTGTTAACGTGCTCTCCACCGTTGTTTCTATCTACTCGGTGGACAAACTGGGACGTCGTCTTCTCTTGCTGGAAGCTGGTGTGCAGATGTTTTTGTCTCAAGTGGCGATAGCCATCATATTGGGAATAAAGGTGAAGGACGATTCGAACGACCTTTCGAAAGTTTATGCAGTGGTGGTGGTTGTGTTGGTGTGCACTTTCGTGTCTTCTTTTGCATGGTCTTGGGGTCCTCTTGGGTGGCTTATCCCCAGTGAGACTTTCCCGTTGGAGACTCGTTCCGCCGGACAGAGTGTCACCGTTTGCGTCAACTTGCTCTTCACCTTCGTCATTGCGCAAGCCTTCCTCTCTATGCTCTGCCACTTCAAGTTCGGCATCTTCTTGTTCTTCTCTGGCTGGGTCTTTATCATGTCTGTCTTCGTGCTTTTCTTGTTACCCGAGACAAAGAATATCCCCATCGAAGAGATGACTGAGAGAGTGTGGAAACAACACTGGTTCTGGAAGAGGTTCATCGATGATGATGACAAAGCCGCCAATATCTCTAATGGATTTGATCCATCCTCTGTTTTGTAGATTACATCATTTTAGGATATAGAGAATCAATCTTTCCTTGTTACAGCTAATAAGCTAGTTTTTTTTTTGATTTTTTTTTTATTTCCCCTTCAAACTCCTGCAACTTTGTAGTTGTTCCTGTTTTCAAGCTATATATATATATATAACAGTATAGTTTATTCTTCCTTTACACGTTTTACTTCGAAAAAAATTTAATCTGATAAAGGTTAAGAAAACAGCAATAGGAGCATAAGCAAAGGAACAGAACGAAAACACGTAATGAAAAGTTAGAAATTTTTATGGTGCTTTAAATAATTACAAAGATTTCCTATATCAATAATGGTGTGGAGTATTTTCTGTAAAGCATTACACGATTTTATTTGAAAACAAGTAACTAATAGTTGATCAGTGATTGTGCTGAAATATTTTCTTACAACAAATGATGACATTCACAACTCAAGTCAATTCTATGGCCTTCATTTTTAACAAAACACTAAAGTGGAAAATGTAGAAGAAACTCACTCTTAAGCAGGAGATAGTTGAAAATTTAAATGTGAATTTTAGTGATAGAAATAAGAAACTTCAGTATGATATAAGAAAAATAATTTATTAATTAATTGACTTTTTTGAGTTGAAAATGGTGTTAATTACCTAATTGAGGTAACATTTATGTAATCTCCTTAATGAATATAAAAGACTCATAAGTTACAGTATCATGGTAGTGGATGTTGTTGTGTAAAGAGAATGCTTATTGCTTTTCTCATGCGCAAAGCAATGCGACCTCCAAATGGGAACAATGTAGTAGAGTGGTTGCTATTTCATGATGACACTCACCAATCATTTCGCAAAACATGTTAAATATACAGAAAAGTCATCATGGTTGCAATGAAGTGCAGTAGCCGCACAGATCCAAATCGTTTTCTCCGACATTCTTGCCTTTCAAGTTTCACTAACTTAAACCCATAACCACTCACAACAAAGACTATCATGTCGCAAATTGTAAGGATACAGAGTATATTCTCAATTATCAGTATTTTGGTTCACATTTTAATACACAAATATGCTCTTTATTACCATTTTCACGGCCATTATCTATGATTCGACCTTTATAATCCCTAGTTAATTTAATCTTCTTCGTCATCGATTTTTTTCTGCATGCGCTCCACTTTGTTCGTTGTATTTCACTTGATTGATACTTTGTTTTCAAAGTAAAGTTTTTTTTTTAATCAGCGAAAGCAAAGGTGAAAATCAAAATAAAACACCACCCAGTTAAAAATGCTTGCATGCAAATGCATTAATTCAAGTTTGGACCGGTTTTACCACACACTAGTTTAATTTTTACTTATAAATCTTCTTCCCATGCAAGATATTGATCTATATATTTGTTGTCATGCAAGCTAATCTAATAAAGGGCCAAATAAAATTTAGCCAAAAATATGAAGACAGTCTTTGATCCACTTTCACCTTCCAAACTTGATTGCAACGAGACCCAATGGGGCCACCTTGTTCATATTAAAAAGGAGGTTTTCATCAAAAGAAATAATAATAATAATAATAATAATAATAATAAAAGAACCAACTAATTAACTTTTCCATTCTTTAAGTTCCATTCTCCATCTCCCTAGTGAAAAAGGATATATAAAGATCCCAGAGAGAAGAGAAGAGAAGAGGCTCAATTGCTCAAACCTCAGGAAAAGGAAAAGGTGATTCCTAATTACTGTGCAGAGCTTGTAGCCATGGCATTCACAGAGAAAGCTGTGGTTTTCTTGCTGATGATGATGGCAGCTTTTCATGTTTCACAGGCAGCTGTGCACAAGGTTGGGGACTCGTCTGGCTGGACCATCATTGGTAATATAGATTACAAGAAATGGGCTGCTACCAAGAATTTCCAAGTTGGTGACAGTATCAGTAAGTTCCCTCGCTCCAACTCTTTACTTATGTTCATTGGGACATAGATGAGTTCGAAATTTTCTAGGAAATGGAAAATCCTTCCTTTAACAAAACAAACCACCTTATCAAAATATTCGCTTGAAAGAACTAAAAACTGGTAATTTGTGTGATCAGTTTTTGAGTACAATGCGAAGTTCCACAACGTGATGCGAGTGACACATGCTATGTACAAGTCCTGCAATGCATCGTCCCCGTTGACAACCATGACTACTGGGAATGACACCATAAAGATAACAAATTATGGTCACCATTTCTTCCTATGTGGAATTCCTGGTCACTGCCAAGCAGGGCAGAAGGTTGATATCAACGTGGTGAAGGTATCTGCTGCAGCAGCACCAACACCAACATCAGCAATGGCATCTCCAGTTCCACCTGCTAATGTGCCAGCACCCTCTCCAAATGTTGCATCCCCATTCATTGTTGCCAAAGGAGGTGTCGGGGTCTTGACTTTGGCTATTGCTTTGGTTGCATTTCTTACTCTTTTTACCCATGCATGATTGGGATTTATACTTGTTAAGAATATGGTTTACTCGCCATTTGGATTTTTTATTTTGGACATGTCAAGATATTTCGATACTTTTTCATTGTCACGATCCTTGTAAACGTTTTCTAATGACGAGATTTTCTTTTCACGTCTGATTTTTGGATTGGTTGAGTTTAGACACTAGCTTGAATAAATATTAACCGAAAAAAATGTTTCTGTTACAAATATTAAATGAATAAATATTATATAATTTCAATCAGACACAAATATTCAGTAAAAAAGGTTTATCTCTGTTAATTAAAGGTAAAATTTTCTCCTTGTTTCAATAAAATGTTCATCCCGACGTGTTATGTGAATGAGTTTATCATTGGAATATTATATAAATATTAATAATATATTCATGTTAACATAAAAAGTAGAAATTACTGTGAAAAGTAGTTTGTTGTCAAGTGAGATCTCGTTACTGTGTACACTGTAGATCATGTTATTGTGTTTAATAAATATTTGAATTTTAAATTATAAAATATCAATTCGTGGTAACTCATACGTTAATATATTTTCCAACAAATGTTTATCCTTTTGTAGTGTTTTGTGATTGCTTCTATCATATTAATTAATTCGCATAAATTTTAACATAAAAATGAAAAATAATGATAGAACTTAAAAGATTTTAAAATTAAATACCATTTGAATGACTGAAATAAATTTTTAAATTGATTTTAATTTTATAACATTTAGTTTATAACTATTGATACACTCTTAAATTAGGCATCCGTTATAACAGATGGAAAGCGAAGAAAGGAATGACCTAAACCAAAAGAAGAAATGAAAAAGAAACACGGATCTTGAAAGACCACACTAAAGTCAACTATCATTATGTTCCCTAGTGTCTAATATACAAAATTCTAGGGCATGCTGTTTACAACCCCATTCCTAAAAATTGGTTTATCTAGCCTACTTGAACATGAATACAAAAATAATATAAATAATAAAGAATGATCTTCAAGGAAAATTGAACGCGGAAAGAACTTCGAGTAAGTTACAGGCGGCGTTAGTCAGGTATCTCATTCTGGAGCAGTCCATTTAGCAAAGGGCGCTCCACCTCTGTATTCCTTGTCGTCAATCTTTTATACTGATGTCCTATCCTGTGGAGAGAGACAACCATATGAATCCTGGTAGATTCATAATTAATCTTTCCCAAGACTACACAGTTGCACATATTTATTGCAGAAAAAATACCACTAAATATAAAGATAGATAGAGGTTTCAGTCCCATTCATCCTCTTAATGGATCTAAAAAAGTATAGCTTGATTAGAGGTTATTAATAAAAAAAAATCATGTTTCTTTTGAAGAGATAATCTCACAAAGCTGTGTCCATAACCGCGTTCACTTTCTGCAAATCGTGCACACATGGTCAACGATATATTTCGAAAAGATAATTTGAGTAAAAGATAACACTCCTGTTTTGTGCTAGGGGATCACTAAAAACAATAAACAGCATAATAGACATGCCTGCAAACCTTGACAATAAAAATAGCAATTTTGCTGACACTAAATATCAGAATAAATTTTGGAAAGGTCCACCAAAATAGAACTCAGTTTCATAGGAACCATGGTAATCCACAACAAAGAAAAACTAAGTGTTTTTAGAATTTAGAATATAAACAAATATGATAGACATAAAATATTCAAATTTAGAATTTGAATAAACAGAATAGGAGGTGTAAAGCTTCAGAGACCTTACACTAGTTGACTGAAGCTCTAACGTATTCACATTTTTATTGTCCTGTCAAATTACAGAGTACAATAAGTTTAAAGATAAATTTATGCAGGTTCAACTCCAATACACCAAAAGATTGAACAGTTACTAAGATTACCTCAATCAACAAATCTTTTCTCGTTATCAAACCAAGCACACGAGATGGTCGAGGAACAACAAATAAATGCCTTAGACCAAGTTGACGGAAAAGATTGTATACCTGTTTTCATCAGTCAGACATCATGGTCATCTGACTACCAAAATGGATAATGGAAATGAAAAAAGATTATTTAATTCACTTTGGATGACACACCTTTGTCAAAGACATATCTTCTGGTACAATATACGGTGAGGGATTCAAAAATGGAGCAAGATCAATGTACATTTCTAAGTCATCTGAACTTAGATGTATATCCTCAATACATATTCCTTTACTAGAAACAGGCTTTGCAAATTCACCAGAATCATGCCTGGAAGTTAAGGAATCATAAACAGGGCATCATACAGATGTAAAACACCTAACCGACAATTCACAAGAAACCTTACCTAATTGATCTGGCCCCACCTCGAGAATCCGAGGGTAAAGGGCTATGCTGGAAATCAACCTTTGACTGAAGAATTACCAATAGATGACTGCATAGAATAAAAGCATAAAGAAGCTTGAGTTTTCAAGAGATGCAAGCTTTAACCTCAAGTTGCAACCAAAATGATAGAGTATATAAAGTTTCTTATCTCATTTTTCTCACCTACGAAGCACTAACCCAATAACAAGTGGTTCTCCACTTCTTGTGTGATCAATCACCTTGCATAGTAAATTGTGAAATACAACTAAGAAAATGTAAGGAATAATGTTCAAGTCAAGATTAGTACAAGATTTATACATACTGGAAAACCATTGTGTTTATTGCTCCGCAGAATGGAGACCACATCTGAAACCTTAACAACACGGGGGAAAGAGACCACCTTCAATAGACAGATTTAAGCATACATTAGCGCCCAAAGGAATAGCTACAGTTAAAAGCATGTGAAACATAGTTTACCGGTGACAGCCTCATTTTTCATAAATGTTAACCAATAAAGGCAACATTACCACCTCAACTAGCACCCACTGGTTTTAGGTTGTATCCACTCTCATAATTTAATGCTTATATATTCAATTAGAGTTTTATTTTTTAATTCCCTCCTCCTTCCCTCTTTTACGTGCCAAACGAGAAGAAATAAAATATTCCAATCTGCCTTTACACAACACAACTCGGCCTTTGGTTATAATAGAATGCATCCAGAACAGCCAGTAATTCAACTAGGCTTTAAACTTGGATGACCCTAACCTGTTCTTCGTTCCAAACTATTTCACCACTTGGAAACACTGAAAGAAAAAGTTAACATAAATTGGACAACTGCTAACAAGAATTGAGGAGCAATTTGCATTCATCTTTCCCCTCCCACTACTAGAAAACTTCCATCAAAACACAACTTAATTAGACAACAACTGTTAATCTATATCCAACTTCTTAACTAATACAGCAACACACACTCAGTGAATATGCACTTTCTTATATAATTTTTTAAAATTATATTTACCCTTCCACTCCCACAGGCTTCCTTTGCTGTCATATTCCGCATCTCATATTTAGGCCTTGATTCCAGTAACGGAATGCCCCTCAATTGAGCCTGCTCCTCATAGATACCTTCGTTAAAAGCATCACCAACAGCCTGTAATAGAAAAGCTTAGTGCATTGTCTAGTAATTTTTCTTTATAGCAGGGAGTTTTGACATGCATACCTTTGATATAAGAAGAACAAGCATTATAAGAGGTAAAAATTTTAAGTTATTTGAAATTTCAACCATAATCACACATAGAGACACTGTCATCCGCATTGAGCCTCCAAGAAAAGATGCAGCTCCCAGCAAAGCATACCTGAAGATAAGAAAATATCAAGTGTAAATTTCTATTAAAATACAACTAAACATGACTGTCATAGGACCCACGATGGAAGAATAGAAGGAAATAGGGCAAAATAGATAGAGTTGGTTAATTGTGGTTACAGAATTCAATGGGTTGTTAGGTTCAGTCTCATGCTGTGTCATTGAGAACAGAGCAATAAATCTATTATAAAAAGGGGAATCCTTTGTAAAGCGCAAGCCCCTGGAAGAACTCAATAGGTGTCCTTCACGGCATCGATGTCCTTCAAGGCATCGATGTCCAATATGTCGGTCAACTCTTCAAATGGAGAATAAATTTTCCTTGAGACATCATAAACAAGGAGGAGGAGAGCATGTATCTATCACCCAGAAAACGGGATAGAAGATTGATCAATTGATAAAATAGATGTCTTCTAACAATAAAACCAATTCATATGTATAATAACGAAGCAACCTATATCTTTGTCACCATGAATTCGAACAAAAGCAATGAGTAAACTCACGTTCCCTCTTCAATGTTGAGCTTTCTGTAATATTTTACAACGAACATGCCAACAAGACGCCCATATGTTGATCCTATCATTATACCAGGAACAAATTGACCAGCTGGCACAGCAGTACCAAACGTGACCACTGCTAAGGCATAAAACATAACCTACAAGACAATAGAAATAATACTTACAATATAAACATGTAAAGCATCACAAGTTCCAAGTGACAACTTTTTCTAATATAGGAATATGAAGATAAATCAACTGCAATTCCTGTAGCAAGTTTGATGGACAGAACCTCCCTGAGGAGGGGAAACCATCCATTTTTTGTGCATTATAATCAGAAGAAAACGCATATTTACAAACCCTTTTGGAAAAACCATACCTACATACGAAATATTTTAATTACTTTCAGTTATTGGTTCCTATCAACTTCTACCCACTGTATTCTTACTAGAAACTTACATGCATGGCTACGTAAAGATACTAGAATATACAAAAGTCCAAGTTTGCTATAATTATAACATTGAAAATATCACAAAACTAGTGTTTGATGTATGCAAAATCCAAATCAGAAAGCAAGAATGCAATACCAAAAAGGTTAATAAACTTTGGGAACTGTACTCATTTATTGTTTTTGCACTAAACAAATTCCTTATGGCATCATCCTGAAACAAGAGTAGTAAATTAATGTAATGTAATAAGAAAAGAAAAACAAAGTAGAAAACCAGTTCATTCAAAACCTGTGTATTGAAGAAAATAGTTGCAAGATCATTGTATTCGTTGTCTTTGCTACAATAAAACTGCAAAACACAAGGAATAGAACAGAATCAAGACACAGAAGTAATTAAAACAAAATGAGGCATCTCAAATGTCGCTAGAAAGGAATTAAAGCCTTTTATTTTTTATTTTAGTTGAGCCTCTTCACGTTAACTGCTTTCTTTAGCTTTTCGTCAAAGGACTCTAATTTTATTTTGT